GTGATGGGGTGGGGCCGGCTGGGGGGGCTGGGTGAGTTGGGGGGTGCAGTCGGGAGGGGCTGGGTGAGTGGAGGGTGATATGTGATGGGGTGGGGCCGGCTGGGGGGGCTGGGTGAGTTGGGGGGTGCAGTCGGGAGGGGCTGGGTGAGTGGAGGGTGATATGTGATGGGGTGGGGCCGGCTGGGGGGGCTGGCTGAGTTGGGGGGTGCAGTCGGGAGGGGCTGGGTGAGTGGAGCGTGATATGTACCGAGGAGGGGCCGGCTGGGGGGTCCTCCTGCTTCCGTCTCTGCCCCAGGTGCAGGGGAGGTGGCCCCAGCCACACTGGGGACCCCCCAGACCTGCCTCGAGTGCTAGAGCCCAGGCGGGGGGGGGTTGCTGTAAACCAAAAGTGCAGCCCCTGGACTCGCTCCCTCCCCCGGCCGCGCTGCCCCCCTTGCCCCCGCCCAGCCCCACTGCCCTCTGCCCACCTTGTGCGGCAGCCCCTGGGCCATGTTCCCCAGCCCGCGCGCCGCCAGCCGGCGGATGCTGTCGCTCTCATCGCTGGCCCCTGCCACCAGGTGCTCCAGGACGGGTCTCAGCAGCTTCCTCTGCTGCAGCCCGGGGTGACCCAGGAGCTGAGGGACAAGGGAGCAGGTCACGGCCAGGGCCGGAGTCCCTCGTCGGGCAGTTCGGGGGCAGAGCCCAGCCCCAGCTCCCTCAGGCTCCGGGCTGGGGGTTCAGCTCTGCCAGGCACCGCAGGGCCTCTCAATGCTCTCATGGGGTGGGGTGACTCCCCCGGGCTCAGCGCACTGCATGCAGGGGGTGCTTGGGTCTCGCTGTCCCCTTAGCGGCTGGGGAAACTGAGGCAGCGAGCGGGGAAGTGACTCACTGAGGGGCCAGTGGCAGAGTGGGCACAGGACCCAGCCCTCCAGTCTGTCCCAGCCTGGCTGGAGAGGAGATGGGCATGGCTGGGCTGGCTCTGCTGGGAGTTTCTCCAGAGCCTGCTGGACAGGGCCAGACCCTGCCTCTGCTGCTGCCGGGGTCTGCCAAGGCCTGGCCTGGCCTGCTGGGAGGGGCGGAGTGCACTGAATGGGCCAGTCCCAGGGCTGGGATCCTCCTTTCCCACAGTCTGTTTGGGCCCATGGCCAGTGCCGGCCTGTGACCTCAGGGTGCTGTCTGGCTGCTCATCCGCCCAGTGAGGAGGAGGGCGAGCCGGGCAGCCTGGACTGGAGGGCGAGCTAATTGGGGCTGGACTCTGATCTCCCCAAGGGGTGTCAAGCGGGGTGGAGCAGGGAAGGGAGAGCAAGGCCTGCCCTGGTGTCGGTTCTGATTCCCAGCACAATGAGCAGGGGCTACTTCCAGCCGGAAGGAAGCAAAGGTGCAGCAAAGGACCCTGGGGTGCAAGGGGGCGGGGCCTAGAGTGGGGTTGCTCAGCTTCTGCCCAGCCTCCCCAAATCCTGTCCCCCATGTGAAGGGCAGCGGGGCCCTGCTCCCCTGAGAGGAGGGGCAGAATGTGCCCTCAGTGCGCCACTGTTGGCCAGGAAAACGAGGGGTGCAGCAGAACTGCTGGGGGTGATGGCTCTCCGGGGGTTCTATGTAAAATGGAGGGGAGAACAGAGCCCCTGGGCCCATCCCACTGCCTGCCCAGCTGCCCCCTGTCCCCCCGTGCCCACTCCATCACCTGCCCAGGTAGTGCCCTGGGGAGCACCCGTCTGGGGCCTGTCTCACCTCGGCGTAGAAGGCCGTGCCGGTGACTCTCCAGTCCTCACATGGGGAGCTCAGGGATGGGGACAGGAGCTGCAGGATCCTATCCAGCGGTGCATCGCCCACCTGCCCCAGAGCCCTGGGGGAGGCAAGGACAGTGTGCAGAGCAGTGGGGATGAGTCTGGGCAGTGTCTGGGCTGGCACAGCTAAGCAAGAGGCTCTGAGCACCCCGGGTGGGTGAGTGGGCCCAAACCAGCTCCTCCGCCCAAGGGCCCCAGAGGCACTGTAGAGGAGGCAGAAAGGTTTGGAATATTTTTCTGCAAAGGATGCGTGACTCAGTTTCCCCTCTCACTCTGGCTTGCTACCCACTGGTGTGAAGGGGTTCCCTTCCCCTCTGGACTGGGGAGCAGCAAGAGTTGGGTAAACAGCCCGCAGACTGCAGCCTGTCCGGGCTGGTAGGAATGAACTCGCAGGAAAAGTCCCCGTCAGAAAGACACTGCCTGGGAGATGCAGTGGAGGCCTGGCAGCCAAAGGGAGCAGTGATCACAGGGGGACGGTGCTGGGAGATGGGGGGCTGCCACGCGGCAGACTGGGGTCTGAGAGCTCTACTAGCCAGGCAGGGACAGACGGAGTCCAGGAGTCTTGGCACCAGAGAGGGAGGTGCTGGCCAGCACAGACCCCTGGAGGAGCTCTGCTTTGCCATGCAGTCCTGTATCCCCGGCCACTAGTCACTGGCCTGCGCTCAGAAAGTGGAGGCCCAGGGTCTAGCGCACCGCTGGGGACTCTGCAGAGACAGCGGAAGGGCTGGAGGCTCAGCCTGCCCTGTGGATCTGTGACAGTCACCCAGTCCAGGCTGTACCCCTGCCCCACATCGCCCCCCACTCCTCACCTCGCCAGCAGGGAGACACCCTCGGGGAAGCTGCGGGGATCCTCCAGGAGGTGCCAGCCTCGCTCCTTGTCCAGGGTCCTGGCCACGTCCTGCAAGCCCTTGGCGAGCACGGCTCTGAGTGCCACCACTGTCAGGCTGGGGAGACAGCAGGCCTGCTCTGGTGAACGGGGCTGCGGGATCCAGCTAATGCCTGGCCCTCCGCAGCCCTGTGCCCCCCATGTGTCACTAACCCCCATGGACAGAGGGGGAAACTGAGGCCCAGAGAGGGGCTGGGACTTGGCCAGGGATGCCTAGAGAATGAGGCAGGACTGAGATCAGAACCCAGCTGCCTGAATCCCAGGGCCCAGCCCCACTAAGGGGCACAGCTGAAGCGGGGGAGGGGGAGCAGAGCAGAGATGGGGGTGGGCAGAGGCCAGAGGGATCCTGTCAGCGGCAGACCGTGGGGCTGGCAGCACCAGATCCTTCCTGGGCACTGACTGCAGGACGGGACAGATGGGGGCCTGGGGGGTGTCCTTCCCCCTGGGTGTTTCCTCTGAGGGGTGGCTGGTGGGGAATGGGAAGGGGTGTCCTTGTTCTCGGGCATTACCTATGACGGATGGTGGGTGCCAGGTGGGGGGCTGGGGTGGGGGTGGCCTTGTCCTTAGGCATTGCTAGTGAGGGGTGAGGGGCTGGGGTCGGTTTGCGATGCCTTGCCCCAGACGCTACCAGTGGAATGTGGGAGCAGGGTGCCCTTTCCCCAGACTCTACCTGAGGGGCTGGGGTGCCCTTGCCCCAGACGTTACCTATGGGAGATGGGGGTGGGGTGCCCTTGCCCCAGACGTTACCTATGGGAGATGGGAGTGGGGTGCCCTTGCCCCAGACGTTACCTATGGGAGATGGGAGTGGGCTGCCCTTGCCCCAGACGTTACCTATGGGAGATGGGGGTGGGGTGCCCTTGCCCCAGACGTTACCTGCGGGGGGTGGAGGGTGGCAGTGCAGCTCCCTTTGGGCTGGCCAGGGGTCTCCCGGCCCTGGAGGGCAATGGCGTGTCGCTGTCCGGGGTGCAGCTGAGCTGGTACAGGAGGGCATAGCAGAGCTCAGGGAGCAGCGAGCCCAGCGCATCCCCGACCGCTGTCCCCATCACCACCTCACCGATGGCACAGACCACCTGTGGGATGGGCCCACACGGCGTTAACAGGAGCTACGACCCCCGCAGCGCCGCACCCCTGGCTGACATGGCCCATGGGCCCTTCTCTGCCCCAGAAGGGTCTGCGGAGAGTGGAGGGGGCAGAGCCTGCCCCAAAGGGGTCTGTGCCTTATGCCAGTCCAGGGCCCTCTTCCTTCCATGAAATCTGCCCTGGAAGGACCTAGCAGTTCCCAGCCCAGCCAGCAATGGATCCAGCAGCCCATGAACTGTGTCATAGAATCATAGAATATCAGGGTTGGAAGGGACCTCGGGAGGTATCTAGTCCAACCCCCTGCTCAAAGCAGGACCAATTCCCAACTAAATCATCCCAGCCAGGGCTCTGTCAAGCCGGGACTTAAAAACCTCCAAGGAAGGAGATTCCACCACCTCCCTTGGGAACCCATTCCAGTGCTTCACCACCCTCCTAGTGAAATAGTGTTTCCTAATATCCAACCTGGACCTCCCCCACTGCAACTTGAGACCATTGCTCCTTGTTCTGTCATCTGCCACCATTGAGAACAGCCGAGCTCCATCCTCTCTGGAACCCCCCTTCAGGTAGTTGTCCCACAGCCCCATGCTGGTGGAGGGTGGGGGACTGGTTGCCCCCTCCCCGTAGCTGCCACACCCACAGCCCCCCTGCACTCACCGAGAGGGGATTGGCAACTGCTACCTCCTGGGTCTCAGCCCCTTGCTCTGCTGCTGGCCCGCTGGGGATCCGGTCTAGCAAATCCTTTAGGATGTCCTGGAAGAAATCCTCGGCAGCCAGAGCTGCCCAGAGCTCCTTGCTGTCCCTAGAGCATAGCAGACCCAGAGACATCCATCAGTGGGAGCCCCTGCTCCTGGCCCAGCCGCCACCTCGCTGCGGCTGGGGCCCTTTTCGTGGGCAGCGCCCACCCTAAGGCCCTGGGGTGAAAGGTGTGGGCAGCTCAAAGAGGAGGTTAGAGATCAGTCTCTGGCCTTACTGCCCCTCTAATACTCCCTCAGCAGTCAGGGCCTGGCCCTGGGGATTCTCAGCTGCAAAAGGACTTCTGAGTCCCAGGCCAGAGCGGGTCAGACCTCTCCTTCTGCAGGCTGGGCTTCCAGACAAAGGATGGTGACTCCCCAGGCAGCCCCGCACCCCCGATGGCTGGGGGAGCTTGGGGGTCTGAACTTGGAGTGCAGGGGGCCGTGCATGTGGAGCAGGAAGTGAGGCTGACTCGGCAGGACCCCAGAAGTGTTGGGCCAAATCTGGGCACACACCTGGCTTGAGTTTAGGACCAGCCTGCACCTGTTCCCCCCGCCCTTGCCCCAGAGATCAGGGGGTGCGTGTGGTAAACCTCGCTAGGAAAGAGCCGAGGAGTCCTGCCCAAGCTGTGGCATCACATCAGCCCTTGGACCACAATGTGGGGCAAAGGGCACCTCCTGGGTTGCTCCCAAGTACATGTGGCTCACCACACCGCTAGGAGACCTGTGCTGGGCCCGGCGCTGCACTCACTTATCCAATGGCAGGGGGCGCTGGAGGAGGTAGGTGACCACAGCCTCCTGGTGGTGCTGAGCCAGCAGTGAGACTGCCTGGGTCAGGAGCCCTCTCGGCTCAGGGTCCTCCAGGCAGCGCAGGTAGGTGCTGGTGATGCTCAGGATGGCCTGGACCTGGCCGCGACAGAGAGGTTACCTGACCCACTCCTCGGGATTGCCAGCAGGGGAGGAGCCTCCCCACCACATATCTCCCTCCATTCACCCGGCCCCCCAGACGGCCCCTCCCCACCACATATCTCCCTCCACTCACCCAGCCCCCCAGCCGGCCCCTTCCCACCACATATCATCCTCCACTCACCCGGCCCCCCAGCCGACCCCTCCCCATCACATATCTCCCTCCATTCACCCGGCCCCCCAGCCGACCCCTGCCCATCACATATCTCCCTCCACTCACCCGGCCCCGCAGCCGGACCCTGCCCATCACATATCTCCCTCCACTCACCCGGCCCCCCAGCCGGCCCCTGCCCACCACATATCTCCCTCCATTCACCCGGCCCCCCAGACGGCCCCTCCCTACCACATATCTCCCTCCACTCACCCAGCCCCCCAAGCCGGTCCCTTCCCACCACATATCTCCCTCCACTCACCCAGCCCCCCTCACCACCACCCCCGTGCTTGGGGGAAGGGGCTGCTGCCTCCCTGCAGCTCTCAATCAGAGCCCCTGGCAGACAGTCTCAGGGCATCCCGCTGCCCACAAACCCATCCCCGAACGCCCACGGCCAGCCCAGCTTTACTGTGTCCGTCAGGTCACTGGCGCGGTCTGTCAGGAGCGTGTGAAACCACAGGACACTGGCCTGGTCACAGGCCTGGCTCACGGCCCCCAGGCTCTCCAGCAGGGTCTGGGTGAAGGGCAGGATCTCCGCCTTGGGCAGGGCCCTGCTGACAAGCTGCAGAGAAGGGCACAGCCACGGCCTGGCGTCAGCCCAACTCCTCAACCAGGCAGGGCCCCAGGGAGAGTTTGGCCATGCGCAGGGAGCGGGGCTGGCCCTGGTTGTGCTCCCCTGCAGGCTCCTGGCCCCTCTGGGGAGAATCCCTGCCCCAGAGATCCAGCCAGAGCCTGCTGGGAGGGGCGTGGGAAGTCTGCGCAGTGCTGGGGCATCCCGCATCCAGGTAGTGGAGTTCCTGGTTCTTCTGCCCCTTGCTGTTGCCCATGGGAGATCCACACTGTCACCCAGCACACCCCTGTGGCCCTATGAACCCCGTCCTGATTACTGACAAGGAGCCTCCCAGTTGCCAGCTCATTGCCCCTGCCCCTGAGGCCTCCCCCAAGCAGTTCAGCCCAGTAGCCCCCTCCCCAGGTGGCCCAGCCCGGTAGCTGCCTGTCCCAGCTCTTGGAGTCCTTACTTTGGCCAGTTTGATAGACGCGTCCCACACCTCCTCGGGATCTGCACTCTGCAGCTCCTGACACACGCGCCTCAGCGCCCACGCCTTGTCTCGGCCCCTCAGGGTCCAGGGCTGCTTGGCAACTGCAGGGATCAGCCAGGGGAAGATGCTTAGCCTGGCCTATGGGCCTGAGACGCTGCCCCTTGGGTGCCATTACGAGTGCACTCGGAGCTGCTGAGACTGAGGGCCTGGCACACGCTTACTGGCCCTCTATTCACCTCAAAGCATCTGCAATGCCGTACCCTGACTGGGCCCTCTAGTCACCCCAGGACACCCCGGGCCAGGCCCCACACCACCCCTGGGCCATGCCCTCTATTCGCCCCACAGAACCCCTGGGCCAGGCCCCATGCCACCTCTGGGCCATGCCCTCTATTCGCCCCACAGCACCCCTGGGCCAGGCCCCATGCCACCTCTGGGCCATGCCCTCTATTCACCCCAGGACACTCCTGGGCCAGGCCCCACACCACCCCGGGCCATGCCCTCTATTCACCCCAGGACACCCCTGGGCCAGGCCCCATGCCACCTCTGGGTCATGCCCTCTAGTCACCCCAGGACACCCCTGGGCCAGGCCCCATGCCACCTCTGGGTCATGCCCGCTAGTCACCCCAGGACACCCCTGGGTCATGCCCTCTGTTTGCCTCATGGCACCCCTGGGCCATGCCTCACACCACCCCTGGGCCATGCCCTCTATTCGCCCCAGGATACCCGCTCCATTGTGTTCCGACCAGGCCCCGTATTCGCCCCAGGGTACCTGCTGCCCCTGAGGCCTCCGCACCTTGTATGTCTAGCAGGCACCCAATGGCGTCCCCTGCGCCCTGGCGGATGCTGCCCAGTGAATCACAGGTGTAGGGGCCCAGCGTCCCAGCCAGAGTGCTGAACTGGCCAGGAGGGATCTGTGTCTGATTGGGAAAAGAAAGAGAACAACAAATGGGCTTGGCCTGGGTGCAACCAGCCCCTTGCCTCGCCTTGGCCCAGGATCTGGTCCATACTAGGCAGCGACCTCACTCTGCCAACAGCTGCCTGCTCCCAGGACCAGCCCTTTCCCCGCAGGGACTGAGTGTGCCCACAGCCAGGGTACTGAGGGGCTGCCCCCGGGCCACTCTCTGCTGTGCCGGGGCTGCTGGGGCCCAGGGATCCCGCTCTGCCCTTTCCCATATGGGACCCGCGGGGACGCCCTGGGGCAGAGCCAGAGTGCCTGAGCCTGCTGCAGGTGGGCACTGGGCCAGGCAGGTGGGGCAGTACTCACGGTGATGGTGACCGTCTGGAGATATGCCTTCAGCAGGTGGGTGCTGACCCGCATGGCGCGGGCACGCTCCCACACCTGCTCTGACACCAGCCATCTCTGCAGGAGCTGTGGGCAGAGCAGGGCAATGAGCAAGCCCCCCACCAATTGCACCTGGGGGAGGAGGGGTCCAGTGGGGGGGGGGGAATGGAACCCGGAGAGGCCTCCGCATGGTACCTCCTGGGCCATGCCCAGAGCCGTGCTCGGCTCCCAGCCCCCTGAAGAGGGAGGGGCTGGGTGAACTGCCTGTGGCTCCTCTCCCCTCACGGTACGGAGACCAGGGAAGTGGGGGCAGTCCAACGCCCCTTCCCTCTGGGGTGCAGCGCTCCAGGGAGTGTTTCTGCTCAGACAAGGAGGTTTTTCTGTGGGGCCCTTCCCCCCTCTAGCTTCTGTCTGAAATGAGCCCCATGTTGGGCAAAGGCTGAGCCGGACCCTCCCAGGCCCCAGGGTACACGTGGCCCAGCAATGTTGGGCCAAGGCCTCAGGCCAGACCCATCCCTGGAGTGACTCCTGATTGCAGGGGGCTCTGACAGGCCTCCTGACGGGAAATCACCCCTCCTTCCGGGGGATGCCTGAGCCCTGAAACACTGGACTGGACCCCCCCACACACACTTTCCTGGAGTCTGGGACTTCGCTCTCCCCTAGTGCATCTCCACAGACCCACAACCCCACTCCTCACCCCTGCTCCCCACATCACAGGGCTCATACCCAGGCAGGCTCTGACCCTGGGGTGGGCAGGAGGCTGGGAGGTGGGTCTTGTCCCTGAGGTGACAGGGGCCGTCGAGGAGTCTGGACAGATGGACAGGAGACCTCCCTGCCCAGCTCCCACTCACCCGGAAGGTTCTCTGGAGTCGCTCTGGCGTCTCCTCCTCCTCCAGCAATATCTGCATCAGCCCCTCCAGGGTGGCCATGGTGCTGGCATAAAGAGTCTGCAATGCAAAGGGAGGAGTGAGGCCCTGATGGGGCTGGCAAGAGGCAGAGAGGGCCAGTACCTAGGCCCAGCCCTGCAGGGAGTGATGCCTAGGCACCATGACCCTGTGGGGTACCCGGTCAGCGGCAGGGAGGATGGGCTGTCACATACCTGGCTGGGCCCCACATCCTCAGTGAACTCCTGGGGAGGCAGGGAGAAGACACTATCAAGACACTGCTCCATCAACTCCTGATTCTTCTCGCAGCTCAGTGGCTGCTTCACTTTACTGGCAGGAGAGAGCATGGCGGGAGGCGTTAGAGGCTGGGCATTCCCCCGCCGGTGGGCACGGAGAGACACACAGACCTCTCCAGGCCAACACCCCTACCCCCTGCTTCCTTCCCTACCTTCCTCCTCCTCCTGGGGCTCTCCTGGGGCCCCCATCCCTGCCCCCCTCTCCCCAGGGCTCTCCCCTTGCTCTCTGGGGTGTGCAGGGCTTGCTCTGCCAGCCGCAGGGGCTCTGTGCCCAGCAGGGCTCTCCTGCGGAGATCAGGAACAATCTGCAGTGGTCTGAGTCCCAGTGAGCTCGAAGCACCACCAGGGCTGAGCTCTGGGGGCCATGACACCCTGGGAACTGACCCCTGGCTCTAGGAAGGCTGGGCAGCTCTCCCCACACTAGTGCCACCATGGGGGTCACCCTCCTGCCTCATACACTGCCCTGCACAGCCCACGTCAGGGCTTGCCCACGCTGGTTTCTGTGCGTAAGGATGGCCAAAGTGCCAGCTGGCATGGAGGGGGCCAGGGGCAGAGCTATACCCACCTCAGGTGCCCGATGGCCACCATTGCTTCCTGGCGAACTGGGGAGAGCAGGGAGCTCCGTGGCTCGGCCTTAATGATCTCCTGAAGTACACACAGAGAGACCAAGAACATGGGGGGAGGCCATGGTATCCCTGGGGGCAACAATGGGACCTCCCACCCACCTCCGGGGGACTGACATAACGCCCAGAAATGCCGGGGGTGGGGAAGCTGATGGAACCTCCCAGTGCCCATGGGGCTGGGTCCCCTGACCCCAAGACAGCCCCTGTGTCCTGCCAGCAGCCTCAGGGCAGGTTTGGAGAGCATGGGGATGACCTCCAGAGAGCAGCCCACTCCCCAGTGACTCCCAAGGACACAGTTATCCAGTTCTATCCCAGTGCCCCCCCAGCCTGCTGGAGCCAGGGCAATGCGACCCCAGCTCAGGGCAACCCTGAGGCCATGAGGCCGCTCCCCCAGGACTGGGGATCCCCCCACTCACCAGCAGCTGGCTGAGCAGCACCTGTTTGTGGGGAAGCTGGTGCGGCTGGGATTCCCCGCTCCTCTGGACGGCCAGGCTGACTGCGGAGATGCTCTCAATGAAGCGCAGAGTAAGGGCCGTGTCCTACATGCCCGCAGAGAGGAGAGTGGGAATGAGAGTTGGATGCAGCCTCCCCAGCCCTTTGGGGTTAGCACAGCCTCCCACTCTGGCCACCCCACCACCCCACCCCGGAGAGGCCCCTGGCCGCCGCACCGCTCCCCTCACAGGAAGGGCCCAAAGTCATATGGCACCCTTATGGGGATGGGCCCAGAAGCTTAGGAATACCCCCACCCCACAGAAGAGAACCAGATTCATGGAACAGCAGCATAAACTAGTCCCGTGCCCCAGCATCCCCGGGGCTGGGCTGAGACTGAGCCTGGCTGCCTGCAGCCCACAGCCTGGCCCAGCCCCAGCCTTCCCGCAGTTCTGGCAGATGCCCCAGCCCGAGCTGCATGGAACCCCGGGAGGATCACACTCGCTGCTCCTTACCATCTGCCTGGCGTTTAGTCCCAGCGCCTGAAAAACGAAATGGCAGCAGCTGTCAAACATCAGCACTGAAGCCCCCTGGGATATGCCAGGGCCCCAGAGCCACCTCCCCCTGCAGGGGGCAGCATGGAGCCATGTGCATTGTTCCAGGGGGCCCTCGGACCCATCTCCCTCCGGTCCCTGTGCAGGTTTAAAGCTATATGGCCTAGGGAAAGGAGGAGGACTGGGCTGGGAGCCACAGGGCCCTAGCTGACTCCTTCCATCCACGCTATCCTCCCATCCATCGTGGAATCTCAGGGTTGGAAGGGACCTCAGGAGGTATCTAGTCTAACCCCCTGCTCAAAGCAGGACCAATCCCCAGGCAGATTTTTGCCCCAGATCCCCTCAAGGATTGAACTCACAACCCTGGGTTTAGCAGGCCAATGCTCAAACCACTGAGCTATCCCTCCCCTCCTGAACTGCTGTTTAGCCAGTCGGTCCCCAGCCTGTAGCAGTGCATGGGACTCTGCACTTGTCCTTGTTGAACCTCATCAGATTTCTTTTGGCCCAATCCTCCAATTTGTCTAGGTCACTCCGGACCCTATCCCTACCCTCCAGCGTATCTACCACTCCCTCTAGTTTAGTGTCATCTGCGAACTTGCTGAGAGTGCAATCCATCCCACTGTCCAGATCATTAATAAAGATATTAAACAAAACCGGCCCCAGAACCGACCCTTGGGGCACTCCGCTTGATACCTGCTGCCAACTAGACATGGAGCCATTGATCACTACCTGTTGAACCTGACAATCTAGCCAGCTTTCTATTCACCTCATGGTCCATTCATCCAATCCATACTTCTTTAACTTGCTGGCAAGAATACTGTGGGAGACCGTATCAAAAGCTTTGCTAAAGTCATCTCTCTCCCCCTCGCCCCGGCTGTCCTGGACTCATCAGTGACCCCTTCAATCCATGGTGCCCTCTCCCCATGGCCTGAGGCCTGATCCTGTGAGGTCCTGGGAGCCCAATCTCAGAGGGCCGAAGGCATGGCAGGGAGGTTGAGACCAACTTCTGCAGGCAGATACCTGGGTGCTGGTGCTGTAATGGTGCAGGATTTTGGGTACGATCTCTTCCGCCAGCCGAGGGAGCAGCTGCTGGGGGGACGCCTGGGCTGCTGCACTGCTGTAGAACAGCAGGAGGGTGCTCTTCACTCTGTCCCTCTCCTGTGGGGCCAGGCCCTGGGGCAATGAAGAGAAGAGCAGGGATGTCACTGGGGAAAGGCCTTTCCCTCCCCAGCTCCCGACGGCCCATGGCTGGCGCTTCCTTGGGGCTCACGGGCTGGGAAGATTGTTCCCTAGATTCTATAAACATTGACCCTGTCCAGCTCCAACCCCCACCCCCAAGAACAAACCTCTGGCTCTCCATACCCTCCTCTGGGTAGAATGAGCCCCCAGACCTGTGATCCCCACATGCCCTGGGGGTGATCCCCCAGCCTCACCCCTGCCTAGTTACCCAGTTCCCTCAGGTGATCACTCCATGTGGCTACAGAGTGGCTTCATCTCCAAATCCAGACAGGGCCCACTTGGATCAGAACCATGGTTCTGCCTGGGCCAGCTTTGGGCTCTGATAATCAGAAACTTGGTTAACCCAGCCCAGCCCCTCTGCACCGCCAGCCTGTGCCTTGCTGGCCCGGACCCCAGCCAACAGCTCCATGCAGACAGGGCCGGGGGCTGGGACAAGTGGAGTGCTGTACCTTGCACAGGCTGAGATGCCAGGAATCCTCCCCCTCTGCCATTTCCTCCTCAAAGTCACCCAGAGCTCTCAGGATCGCATCCAGCTGCTCCCTGGCACAGAGCTGCAGGCAGGAGTCAAGGCACTGGGAGCAGAGAGCTCGGGGTCAGTCGAAAGCCATCAGCAACTCCAGAACAGCCCGGAGCCTCCCCAGTCCCCGTCCCAGCACTTCCAGTCACAGCCAGTCTCCCCAGTCCCCGGGCCAAGAACTCCCAGTCACAGCCAGTCTCCCCAGACCCAACACTCCCAGTGAAAACCAGTCTCCCCAGTCTGCAGGCCCAACACTCCCAGTCACAGCCAGTCTCTCCAGTCTGCAGGCCCAACGCTCCCAGTCACAACCAGTCTCCCCAGTCTGTAGGCCCAACACTCCCAGTGAAAATCAGTCTCCACAGTCTGCAGGCCCAACACTCCCAGTCACAACCAGTCTCTCCAGTCTGCAGGCCCAACACTCCCAGTCACAACCAGTCTCCAGGCCCAACACTCCCAGTCACAGCTAGTCTTCCCAGTCCCTGGGCCCAGTGCTCCAGTTCCTCCTTAGTCACCCCCAGGAGCTCCAATCACACACAAAGGCCACAGGCCTCTGCCTGGGGGAAGGGCCCTCCAGAGCTGCTGGGTGCCCTGGGGTGCAGTTGGTCTCGGCCCCTCACCTCCGTCTCTGCACCATTCAGATAGTCGGCCATGCGCAGCAGCTCCCGGAGCTGCCCTGTCACTGAAGCCACATCCTTGCTCATGGCCAGGGCTGTGCCCAGCGCCTTGCAGAGGAAAGCCTGAAAGAGAGTGCAAGGGAGGGGTGAGCCCCAGCCTCGGGGGGGCGGTCTGTGCCATTGCTGGGGTGAAGGCCAGGATCAGGACCCCTAGCTTCAGGCAGGGGCTGGCCCCGCCTGCACAGGGGGAACTGCAGGGCTTGGTTTCACTGGCGTGGGACTGCCCCAGCGCCTTCTGCCCCTCCCCAGAGCCCCCCAGCACCAGAGAGGCTTTCTCTGGGAACTGACCTTCTCCACGGAGGCGTTGGCATAGCTGCCCATCTGCCGGCCCAGCTCGTGGCTCAGATCCTGGCTCCAGCCGCCCTCTTTGCTCCTCCCCAAGGTCTTTTGGAGGAACTGTGTGGAAAGGAGCCGGGGGGGTGACGTTGCATTCCATATGTTTTATGGAAATATGCTTATAAGGGTGAATATGATGTAACTGAAACATGCTTTATGCAAAAGGTCTCTTGTAAGGTATCATAACAAAGGTTATAACCTACTGAATATGTTCCTCCTATTTGTATGCATGTATCATTCTTGTATCTGAAGCTAGAAATATGAAGTATAACTCTGAAGTCCTATTGTAATTATGCAAAGTGTGGGCCATTAATGGTGGTTTAGAATCTTGATGGCTCCCATTGACTAGGACAATTGGTTGTAAATGGTTTATTTACCTGCAAGCCTTCCTGTGTACATGTGGGCCAACCCAGGAAGAATGGAGACTAGGGGTCTTACAATGACATGTGACCATGTCACATGATACTGGAATCCATCTTAATCTGGTACTTTTCCATTTAGAAGGAAGGGTGCGGACCCAGAGAGACAAAAGATTTCCACCTTGTGCCAAAGCTATAAAAGGGGGTGGAGCAGGACAAAGGGGGCTGCCAGTCATGAGAAAACCCCGTACCACCTGAGATGTCTGCTGGAACTAACAAGGACTGTACCAGGGGACAGGATTGGGCCCAGATTAGGAAGGAGTCTCGTCTGTAAAAGAAGCTTATTGGAACATCTCTGAGGATGAGATATTACTTGTAATCAGTTTCTTAATGTATTGGGCTTAGACTTGTGTGTTTTTGCTTTATTTTGCTTGGTGACTTACTTTGTTCTGGCTGTCCTGTGGCACCTTTAAGACTAACAGATGTATTGGTGCATAAGCTTCCGTGGGTGAATACCCACTTCGTCAGATGCGTCTGACAAAGTGGGTATTCACCCACAAACGCTTATGCACCAATACATCTGTTAGTCTTAAAGGTGCCACAGGACTCTCTGTTGCTTTTTACAGATCCAGACTAACACAGCTACCCCTCTGATACTTTGTTCTGGCTGTTATTACTTGAAACCACTTAAATCCTACTCTTTATACTTAATAAAATCACTTTTGTTTATTAATAAACCCAAAGAAAGTGATTAATACGTGGGGGAGCAAACAGTGGTGCATATCTCTCTATCAGTGATATAGAGGGCGAACAATTTATGAATTTACCCTGTATAAGCTTTATACAGAGTAAAACAGATTTATTTGGGGTTTGGATCCCATTGGGAACTGGGTGTCTGGGTGCTGGAGATAGGTGACCAGCTGAGCTGTCTTCAGTTAAGTCTGCAGCTTTGGGGGCGTGGACCAGACCCTGGGTCTGTGTTGCAGCAGGCTAGCGTGTCTGGCTCAACAAGACGTGGTTTTGGAAGTCCCAAGCTGGCAGGGAAAACGGGCTCAGAGGTAATTTCAGCACATCAGGTGACAGTCCCAAGGGGATCTCTGTGACTGAACCCGTCACAGGGGATCATTTAGGGGCAGAGTCTCCTCCCCTGCTCTCACCCCCACGAGGGATCCTGGCCTCCAGCCTCCCCAGAGCCCTCCTGGCCTGCGGTCCTAGACGGAGGACACTGGGGCCAGCACTGAGTGAGCCCAGCCCAGGGGCTTCCAGCTGCCACTCCCAGTGCAGGGGCTCCCCCCACAGATAAATGCAAGGGGGGTGAGTGAGGAGGGGGCTCTCACTGCTGGGCACTAGGAACTGAGCATTTTAGAACTGGCAGAGCAAGTGTGCTAAAACACCTGCTGGGGCAACTCTCCTGACTGCCAGCAGGGACAGCCCTGGCCCAGGATCTAACGCTCGTCCCAACGCTCTTTCCAGCCACACACAGGAACGTCCTTTTCAGTGAAATGCAACCCTCTCTGGGGTGGAGCATGGCAGCTGCTTAACAGCCCAACAGTGTGGGCAACAGGAAATTCTGACCAAGGACACCAAGCCAAACTCTGACTCTCGAACCCAGGTCCCTCCATGAGGAACTAGCCCAGGGCTCCTCCACTCTGGGGCTGGGAAAATGACAGAAGCCCTCGTGTTACCTCCAACAGCTTGTGCTCCCACGCGGTCTGGTCCAGAGAGAACTTGCTATGTCCTAGAGAGAGTGGTACAGAGCTGGCCATTAACCAAGCACCCCAGGGAGGCCCTTCTGGATCCCCTTGATACATTGGCATCCTGCCCTTCCCAGGGGACCCAACACCACGGTCCCATCCACACTGAAGCTCCTGCCCTACCCACTGTGCAGGTCCCTCCATAGGGATCCCATCCGCACTGGAGTTCCTGCTCTTCCTCCCATGACAGGGGTACCCTAGTCCAATGTGGCACGGCCTCGTAGGGAAGACATGTCCCATCTGGGTTTCCCAGGAGCCAACTCTAGCCTGTCTGGCTGCAGGGTGCTGGCTGTGCCCTCAGCAGCTCTCTCCCCCACAGCTCAGCTCTGATCGCACCTCATTCTCCCAGCTCCGTTCCTCACTCTGCTTGCTCACCCGTTATTTTCTTGACTCCGCTCTACAGATCCAACCCAACCCCTCCCATGGGACATCCAGGGACCTAACCATGCAGCATCAGGCTGCGGGTGTGACCATCCAAGGGGCCTCGTGCTCTTCCTGGCTCCATTGCTGCAGGCAGGAAAGGGCATTGGCAGAACGGTGCAGCCTGCTGCACTCCCTTTGCCCCATCCCAGCTGCTCCCACCCCCACCCCTTACCGTCAAGATACTGGACCATAGCTGGAATCTCCATCCACCACTGCTCTGCCTCGTCCCCATACATCTCAGGGCGCAGGGCGTTCAGCAGGAGCAGCGCAGCCACTCCACGCCCTTCTCCCTCGAAGGGGGATGCTGACAGCACCTGAGCACGAAAAGGAGGTGATTTGCACCAGCTGAGCCTCCTCCATACTGGGGAGGGGAGAGAACGGCCCCTGTTCAGCATGGGGACCATGCAAGAAACATGTGCTAAGCATCTTCCTCCTGAACCCGGGGCCCAGATGGTGGAGTCAGGGAGTCCCCACATGGGCAGCCCCTCGCTCCAGGGCGATGAGGACCCAAGCTTTGCAGGGGCTACTCCCCAGGGATGGGGCCCTCCCTCGGTGTGAGTCACTCACCAGGAGCCGGGCCAGCAGCTGCTGGGGAGTCGGAGATGCCACTGGGAAAAGAGGGGAAAAAGGCTGTGAGCAGGCAGGTTTGGGGCTCTGCTCTTCCAGAGCCAGTGTGCCCTCCTGATGGGGGCAGGGCCAGCTGGAGGGGAGCGGAATGGGTCAGCTGCATCTCCCCCGCTGCCCAGGCTGCTCCATGACCCCCATGCCACACAGGGGGATTGCCCGGAACCTGGCCAGGGGCAGAGCAGCGGGGCAGAGCGTGCTGGAGGCAGGGGTACCCCAGGGCCCCCATGCCCGTGATTGGGGCAGCTTGGGGCTGTGATCCCAGGGGCTTTGCATTGCTGCACTGACCTGGCTCCCTGCAGTCGTGGGCTGCTTGTCTGTGCTGCTGCCGCTGCGCGGCCAGGATCCTCAGGCAGCGGCACAGGGGGGTCATGGAATCAGTGTAAGGGGTGCGGGGAACGTACCCCAGGAGCCGTACCCAGAGCTCCTGCAGAGACGAGGGTGAGAGAGCCCAGGGCTAGGTGAATCCTGTCCCACCAGCTCCCCCCAAGCAGTCTCAGCCTGTGTCCCTGCTGGTGGACTGACTCATCACCCCTTTCAGAGCCCCTCTATGCCCCGCACTCTCACCCCCTCAGAGCCCCGCTCTGCCCCTCACCCTCACCCCCTCCGAGCCCTCCTCTGCCCTCCCCATCACCCCCTCAGACCCCCTCTATGCCCCTACCCCTCATCCCCTCAGAGCCCAGCTCTGCCCCTCACCCTCACCCCCTCCGAGCCCTGCTCTGCCCCTCCCCCTCACAGCCCCGCTCTGCCCTCCCCCTCACCCCCTCAGAGCCCCGCTCTGCCCCTCCCCCTCAGAGCCCCTCTATGCCCCTCCCCCTCACCCCCTCAGGAG